ATAGTCGTTCTTTCTTGAAGATCGCTACCCCTGCCCCCATAGAAATGGTGAGCAGAACATATACTCCAAGTACAGAGTCTCCAATTGCCTGGATCCATCTCAAGGGTCAGCCTTGGTCACACCTTTGAATGAACTTCTCCAGTGGCTTTATCTTCAGATGACTGTTGATCGTAATTATAACACATTATGGGGAAAATTTCTTTGCCAGTGCCTGAGATAAAATGATGAAGAGGATTGCAGCAGTTCCAAACCCAATGTGGAGATGGGAGAAGAAGCAGAAGTAAACTTTTGCTGGTACTACCAGGCTATGGAGTGGGATGGCAATGGCACAAAACACAGGCCAGCAGTGGAAGAAGAGGTGGGTGATGATGAAGATCCTGGTGATGGCATGGATGGTGCCATCCCTGCAGGGAGTCCTCAAGAGTTAGTAGGTGAGAAGGACCCCAAACAGGACACCAGGATTCTGCTACTCAGCCTTTAGATTGAGGTCAGTGAACAGTGGATTGGCTCCCTCCTGCTGCAGTGATAAATTACTGCAAATTTTGTGGTGTGAAACAGCACAAATGTATCATCTTACGGTCACAGAGGTCAGAGCCTGAATGAGTCTAATAGCAATGTTTCTGCTGGACTACAGTCTCTCTAGAGGCTCCAGGGAGAATCCATTCCTTCCCTTTTCTACTTCCAGAGGTGATCCACATGCCTTTGTTCTTGACATTTTTAGCAATGGCTTTACTCCATCTCTGCTTCACCAAATCTCTTCCTTCCATGCTTCATTTCTTTTTTTTAAAATGAGGATCCTTGTGATCATATTGGACTCACCTGAACAGTCCAGAATTAATCTCTTCATCTCAAAAATCCTGAATTTAATAGCATCTGTATACTCCCTTTGAATTGTAAGGTAACATACCCGTGGGCTCCAGGATTAGGGTTAGTGCATTGTTCTGCTTCCATAAGCAGGGAGACACTTGGGTCACATGAGAAATGCTGAATGTAGATCAATGGAGCTTCTCATGTCGTAACTGAAAAAAGAAAAGCTTGCCACTTTTCAATACTATTCAGTAACATGCCTATATTTTTCAACAGTAAGTTCATGTGGTTTATTTGAGGCACTCGTGTGAGACCTTGTTCTCTAAAATGAGTTAATCAAAAGGAGATGTTAATGTACTTGAGGATGCAATTGGGTTCACTGGAATCCGAGGATAGTAAAATAGCATAGCCACCAGGAAATCAGGTATTTTCTTCTTTGACATTTCACTGGATAATAGGTTGATTGCCACCTAGTTCATTATAATTTAGAAATAGGATTTCTTCTTACCCATTGTATAGTTTGTAAACATAAGAAATTTAATTTTTAAAAAGAGAACACGAATATTTTATTCATATAAATTTCTATGCCTCCTTTGCTATTTAAATTACCAGAAAAATAATGACTGGGAAATGATATATACTAATATTTTGGTCAATGGTTGGGGTATCTGTTTGGAAGTTAGTGGAAGCCAATGTGCACCTTTCCTCTCTTCATCATAACTAATTTCTTTCTGAAATATCCAGTTTCCTGGACTTCAGTTCTTACCAAGACTTTTTTTCTGTGAAAACATAGTGGACACTCTATAAATGGTTCCCGAAGAATTAAGTAGACCTATTTGTTTGTTTATTCAAATAACTCCAATCTTTCTTGCATGTTTGTCACACATTTGATGGTAGATGTTTCACAGTTCCTATCAAGTGCACATGAACACAATGTCAGTTCTGATCTAGTCCATCCACATAATTTTCAGGTGAGAAAACAGAGGCTCACGGTGAGGTTGAGTCATGTGTCCAAGTTCAATTACAGACAGAAGCAAAGGCAGAGCCACAGCTTGACTCCTGTCCTCCTAATTATTTATTGTTAAACCTTCCATCCCCATTATTCTTTCTATTGTCAGCAAGTAACACATTGCAGCGACTGAAATGGAAAACATAAATTTATTATCCAAATCCACATAACCTATTTGAAGGTGGTTTTCCAAGATTTTCGAATTTCTGCCTGATTCTACCCCAACATTTGTATGTGCATGTGTGTGTGTGTGTGAATGTGTGTACACGGGCAAGTGTGTGTGTGTGTGTGTGTGTGTGTGTGGTTTGTGATGTTTCTTTACATTAGTGAAGTTTTTCTTTACTGAAGTAAAGCTTGAGACAAACAAGAAATACTCTCCTCCCTAAGCCAGCTGTGGTGCCTCCTGGTAGCAACTACAGATCAATACAGAGAACTTTACTTTCATAATAATTTCTCAGTTTAAAGAAAGGCTTTCATTAGGAAAGCATGCTATCTCAGCTCACGTCATTTTGGAGGTTGCAACTAATGCATCTTATTTTTTAAAATTATTTGCCAAGATATTTTTTCACCTTGATTCCTCCATGGTTAGCATTAAAATTATTAAGTATGGAACTTCCCATTTTTGGTTTACACTTGAAAAGCACATTCTTGGTCTCTACTCTGCATTGTGTATGTGCCAATCTAGTTACAAGTCACAATTACATTAGGGAAATATGGAAATAGTGAGTATGGCTGATCTACTCCAAATATTTGGAGGCCCAGTTCAAGAGTAGATCTCCGATGATGTCTTCCCTCTCCAGACTTCTGTCCCTTTTACCTTCTCTTCCCACGCTTGATACTGTTTCATGTCATGATAAACTCCATGTTTATATAAAATGCCTAATGCTCCAGTACCTCAAGCCCATGGGTTTGTATACACGCTTATTTAGAGTGACCCCTATCTACGCTGTCA